GCTTTGTAGCATTTGCTTAGATTTGAGCAGTGGATGACTGGAGTCAATGAATATCCGGGAAAGTTCAAGAAGACGCGTCAGGAGAAGATGGATGTCCAGTTTTTGTAAATAAGATGCAAATGAGAGTTTAGCTTCCCTGTCTAATGGTCTGTAACCGGTCAGTTGGCATTTTCTAATAAATAACTCTGTAGCGAAGACCTTCTTCCGTTCACCAGGACACCCATTAATCAGAAAACAGGTCAAATGACAGGTTCATAGGAATGCTCACCCAAACGGTCTGTGATCGGCCATTGTCGACTTGAATGAGTGACCTTATTTCAACCATGCGCGCGCAAACATGTGCACTTCCAATCTGAACGCAAACCCACTCAAAACGCGCTGCTGATGTCAGCCCGACTGGTAGTGAAACGTTTCAAACCAAAGTGCCCAGCTCAGCGAACGAACAAAGAGGTGCCACTGCAAACAGATCTTGCCTGTGTTAGTAAAAACTCAAATGCTCCGCACGTTTCAAAGTGGTACGCAGGTAATACTAGTGTGAATTATATTTTAACCACAAAACAACTTACGGTTTCCAAGATATTCCATGACTTGAGGGCAGAAATACTTGCTTTTTATTTCGAATGCAATGAGCACAGCTAATAAATGTTTTTTATTCAGCACCACATTTGAACTAGAATCGTTAATTACATACAGTTTGAAAACTGACTTGGTGAATCTTATGCTTTTTAGCATGTCACTCATCCAGAATTCATAGCATTCGAAAGGAGATTTTCCGCAGTGTCAGTTTTGAATAAAGACCATATAAGCTTCTGTCATTGACATTTTCTCATAAGAGCAACTGACTTTTATGGAAACCCTTTAGGCTGAATAAATATGGCTTTAGCTTATATGATCATAACATTTGAAAGAGATTTATTATCAGCTGGTTCAAAAAATAGTCAGATGTAAACATCAGGACAGAAAATAAATGTTGCGCAACACTACTCTGTCCCCTCTATCGCCGATTCACATTCAGTTACAAACCAAAGGCGTGGGATATTGATAGCTTATTTGCCACTGTAATGGCAATCACTGGTGCATCGATCTTTGTGATGTATATATATATATATATATATATATATATATATATATTAGCTTACATAACCAAAAACAGATA